TTTTTTTTTTTTTTTTTTTTTTTTTTTTTTGTTGAGTATATATGAAAAATTTACTCTCTTGAGATAAACATATTTTGCATAGATAGTTTTACAATTTCTTCATTTTGAAGGTAAAACAGATCATAAAAACTAACAAATAAATAAATTTCGATCAATTAGAATTTTCTTTCTCTTATAAAAATATTTAAGTAAGTAATTGAAAACTACTTGAAAATTTTTTTCTTTTTTTAATAAATACAATTTACATTGGAGAAAAAAAAAACAGACTGATTATATTACGATGAAAGAAAAACGACCTCACAGATTAAGGTAAATTATTAGATTAGAAATGATTTTTTTTTCTTCTAATGACACCAAATTTGAATAATTATAGGATTATTTATTAAGAGATATTATCTAATATTGATTTTATTTTTCAAAAGAAATGAATTTGAACACGGAATTGTTAAGTATTCCTTATTATCTAAATAACATGAATTTTATTAAGAGAGAAAAAAATGAAGTGAACCAATGTGTGTCTAATTAAACATGAGAATGAACATATTGAACAATGTTCATTCTTCTCCTCACATTTGACATGCCCCTCTCTCACTTATGAAATAAATGAGAAATGTGAGAAAGAATGAACGAAAAAAAAAAAAAAGAATGCTTTGCAAGAGAACACAATTTGTACTCTTCTATATTGACTTCATTCGTTTATCGTATTCTTTCTTTTTTTATCCAACTTGCAATAGTTGTTGCTTGACAACCAAACAAGAGAATATTCGTTCTTTTGAAGGTTATCTTTTTTTGAGCATTTATTCATCTTAACATATTTTAATATATATATTTCATTTTAGAAAAATGGATTTAGAAGTTGAAATTCCAATATGGTATAATGGAAAAATGAAATGGATATCAAATTTAACAACACGTTCAACATGTTTTGATATAATACAAGCAATATTATCAACAGATGAAAATCATATTTGTCAATCAAATGAAGATTATATTCTTTATGAATCATGGTGTGGTGTTGAAAGACCATTAAAACCTCGTTGTCGTCTTTTAAAATTATGGAATTCATGGGATGGTGAATCTCAAAATGTAATATTAACACTTCGAACTCATCAACAAAATTCAAGTTCAACACATTTTCTTATTCGACAACAAGATAAAAAATTAGAAAAATTAAAACGTCAACTTAAACGAACAGATAAACAAATTGAAAAATTTACAAATATTCAAAATGATAATAATCAATCAATGTTATCTTATTTAAATCTTTATCGTTCAATAATTAATACACAAACCCAACTTGAATATCAACAAAAATTAATATCTCGTTTAATATCTGATATTGAAAATGAAACTCGAATAGATTTTAATCAAGATAATTTTAAAAAAATTTTATCTGATGTTAATCAAACATTAATTATTAGTAGAAAATTAACTGAACAATCAGAAGAACTTGATCAACAAATAAATAAAACAAATGAAGAAATTGATCAAAAACAATATTTATTAGATGAATTAGAATTAGATTATGCACTTGATCAAACTATTGATATTGATAGTCTTGATGATGATGATCAAGATCAAGCAAATTTTTTATTTAAACAAGAACGTGTTAGTACTAAAGATATTTCACCACCACCACCACCTACTTTTCCTCACAAAATACAAACAGGTATTTAAAAAACAAAAATACATTTCATCATATAAACGAAAACAACAAAATCTTGATAATATTCATCAGAGTTAACAGTCTGATTATATAGTCACTCACAAGATACGACATACTTTTTTCTGGATTTATCTATTTGATGATTAGTGAACTCTACGCATTTCTCTCAGACTACTAACTAAAGCTCATTGGATCCAAATATTTTTGACCCAAACTCGATCAGATTCGAAATTAAATCGACGGACTCTATTTCGAGTGTGAAATTTATATGCATTTCACAGCAAGAACATATAAGAATATGTGACAAAACAAAAAGTCAATTATAGATATTTGTATCCTATTCCATAATTTCCTTGTTTTATCCCGCATAGAGTATGACTATTAGATGAATGTCTAGAATTTATTGTTTTAACCAAAAATATTTATTTCTCATTTTAATTTAATTGTTAAATATGTGAATATATTTTGTTTTAGTAATATCTCGTCCAACAGCAATAGTTGAACCAAGTCTATCGAGAAATAAATCAAAATCGTTTTCTGATGAACCTTCAAAAAGTCGAGTAGAAATAATACATTTTCCTATACGTCATTATAGTCCATGGTCAGTATCAACAAATGATGAATCTGATACTGGTATTAGTTCATTTAATTCGAATGATGATCAATTAGTTACCCTTGTTTAAAATAAACAAAAAACACCAAACATCATCTTACCAAGCAACTGGAATTGATTGGCTTTTAATTGTTCCTGTTTTGTACAAATTACAATCTGAATCCATCATTCTTGCTAAACCAAAATCTCCAATTTTAATCTAAAATAATTGTTTTTGTTTTTATTTAAAATAAAATAATATATCAAATGAAATAAAAAACCTGTTCATAAGAAACAAGAAAAATATTTCTTGCAGCAAGATCACGATGTACAAATCTTCTTTGTTCTAAATAATCCATTCCTTCACTTATTTGTCGTGTATATTCAACAAGCATATATACAAGAAAATGTCTAGGTTCACTACGTAATCGAGATAATAATGAACCAAGTGGAGCTAATTCTGTTACCTTTACAAAAGAAAAAATATTTTATTTATTTATTTATTTTGAAACTAAAAATTGAATTTATTACCATCATTAATGGTTCAGAAAGAACAATTCCATGAAGATGGATTAAATATCGATGTGATAAAGTATGCATTGCATTAGCTTCTCGAACAAAATCACTAACAGCATTACAACCATGAAGAATTTTAACTGCAACAGGAAGACCATTCCATAGACCTTCACGAACTATACCATAATGACCAGAACCTAATGTAATTGATAATTGAAGAGAGGAAGGAGATATCAGACATGATGTTGTTGATGATGAAGACACTAATGGCTATTAAAAGAAAAATATTATTCAAATAGAAAAAATTCTTTTTGTTAACTAACAGTATTGGAATTTTTTTTTGCATTTGATCGTTGTTTTCGTTTAACAGCAGCAAATAATCGTCTTATTGCTGGCTTACTCAAACCGATTCGTTCAAGATCACTTGTTTGAACATATTCAAAATGAGAAAGTCTTTAAGAAAATTTTTAGAAACGAAATCAAGAAAGAAATTTATTTTACTTTGTCACTTGAAGATCATCTCGAATTCGTGATAAATAAGCTGAAAGATCTGTTTCAGATAAAATTTCAATAACACGATGAAGACCGTCTTCGGTCTCTCCCATTGTTGTGATTTACAATTTATTGACGAATGATCGGATCAAGTTAACGACGACGAACGACAGGTGAAAATATTAAAGCATGACTCATATTTGTCCTGTCACATTTCTTCTTTTTTGATCATTTATACAAACAAATCAATAAATGAAAATTCTTTCTATTTTTCTACTACTTACTTTTATTGATAAAAAATAAACTGAATCATTGATAAGCTCTTCCATTTTATTATCTCATGTTTATCCTCAAGATGGCGCTATTAGACAATTTCTACAGATCTTTTTTCATACAAAGATATTTGAATAAATATCGAGAGAATGATCATGAACAAATTAGATAAAATTGCTTTGTCATCAATTAATGTAAAATTACCGTTATGTATTTCTAAACTTATTCTTTCAACAGACACATGTAATTGTATTTTATTATAAATAAAATAATTGTTAAATGAAATTATTGTAGCCAGTATTTCTAATGACAAAGTGCGCTATACAGAGCAAAGTGCACGAAAACTTTGTTTTTTTCAAGCGCACTCTGTTTAGACCTTGAATAAGAAAAGAAAGTGCGCACAGTACACTATGAATTTTACAAATACACTATGTCCTACACAAAGCTATTCTTTTCTTTGCGTAACAAATGTCCATTTGCGCTTTCAACGCATTGACAGTAGCGCTTTCGAATTTTAAACAACTTTTCATGTTTGGTATATATGAATATTGAAGAAAACGACAATTAAATATTGTTTTTTGAGTAGTTGTTTTGAAATTATTGAACATTAAATAAGTATATACTAGTAAGAGTTTTGCGATTCTCGTTACGCGAGTCTTTTTTCTTTACTTTTTCTCTATGAATATGTATTATGCATAGTTTATTTCATCTAGCTTTATTTATATAACCTTGAAATGAAAAAAGTTCAAATAGAATGGTAAATTCATTTTATTCAATATTCCTTTTGTTTTCTAGATCGTGCACACTATATACACTTTGTCGAAAATTTCAGAGTGCGCGAAAAATTATAGTGTAAAACAGAGTGCGGATTGCGCACTCTACTGGAAATTCTCATTAGAAACACTGAAAGGGGAACACAAAATAAATATATTTTGGAAATGGTCGCCGTAGTGATAATATATTTGAATTATATTTTTCGCGTAAACTTTTTTCAATTAAATGATAATGAGCACTCTGGGTTAATTACANTATTGTAGCTATTTCTTCAATGAATTTGATCATTCAATCTTATATTCGTCATTTAATTGTTCAATATTATTTAAGTTATGAAAATGAAATTTCAATTCTTGCACGTCTATTTCCAAAAGTTCAATATTTAGAATTATTGAGTTGTTGCAAAAGTCTTGGCCGATTTTTTTGAAAATCTTTTAAAATCATCTGTCAATATTATGCATATGTGTCCTTTGTATATATCATAAGACTTGATCAGTGCTATTAAATGACATTGACAAGTATTCTCAAGTTTCAATATTTTATATTAAAAAATGTCCAAGTTCCTATCCATGTTCGATACTGTATTTTATATGAGTTTCAACTGCGCAACAATGCAAGCACCGCTGTCCGCCATATTTGTGTTGCCCTTGAAGAAGGCATAATTGCTCAACGCACATGTCGTCTCTGGTTCAAAAGATTTCGAGAAGGCGATATATCACTGGGAGATCAATCCAGATCCGGACGGTCTTTCCAGTGTGATGCGAAGCGATTACAAGCGCTAGTAGAAGACAATCCACGCCTTATCACTTGTGAGTTGTCAACAATGCTCGACAGCAACGAATCCACCATTGAACGCCACTTGCAGAAAATGGGTAAAGTCAGCAAACTTGGATCATGGGTTTCACATCAAATGATACCGGACCACATTCCAGCAGAGGGTCACCATCTGCAACTCTTTGCTATCGAAGTCCAACCGTAAGAAATTTCTCCAGCAAATCGTCACTGGCGATGAGAAGTAGATCCTCTATGTTAACTATACATGCAAACGCCAATGGGTCAATCATGGAGATTTGCCGGAACCAGAGCCGAAAAGTGACCTGCATCCGAAAAAGGTAATGCTATCAATCTGGTGGGATTTTCAAGGCATAATCTACTTCGAGCTTCGTCCTCCTGACATCACAGTCGATTTCCGAGCTGTGCTGGAAACAACTTCAAATTTGAAGACTGCTCTGCAAACCAAGCGGCCAAAACGATACAAAACTGGGTTACTTCATGACAACGCCAGATGTCATGTAGCGACACTCACCAGAAGCTGGAGGAATTGGGCTGGAAGGTCTTACACACCTACCATATTCACCGTACTTGGCGCCTTTCGATTATCATTTGTTCCACTTACTGCGTCATCATCTGTCCGAGAAACATTTCGACGATTACAACTACTTAAAATCGGACCTCGAAACTTTTTTTCAGTCTCTGTCTAAGAAATTCTATGAAGATGGTTTTATGGATTTGCTTAAGAGATGGGAGTGTGTTGTGGATAAAAATGATGTATATGTTGTTGATTGGTGATATTTTATTCTAATAAAACTGAAAAGAAAAAAAACATCGGCAAAGACTTTTACATCAACTCAATAAAAATGTCTCCTTCTTTTTTCTTTTATAGCATCTCTATTTGCCAAAGGTCAGATAAGATTTTATCGAGAATATTATGAGTTACAGAATTCAAATTCGAATAGAAATGAAGAATTTAGTGACAGTATCAATTCAAAAATAAACACAAAACCGTACGACACTGTGCGGTTACTCAGATAAAAAAGGAAAAGAAAAAGTTTTAGTTACATATAATTCATGTATAGGTGAATTTCGGTTTCTAGATCCGTCCTTTACAGTCTAGAGAATAATCAAAATAGAAAGTTTCAAAAACAATAATTATTGTTTTACCTGTTTATGTAAAGACAAATAAAATTAGAGTAAACACATTCATATAGTATATGCTTTCGTCACCATACAAAACTTATTGAAAGAAGACCATAGAGCCAGAAAAAAATCGAACATATAACTTCCGATAGCCGGTCGACTATTCTACCAATAAACTATCTGATTTCATCGAACAATATATATTTTTAAGCTGTCATTGTCCTGGTCTTTTTGTTCAAAATCATTCTCTTCTTTTTTCAAGATTACAACACCTTGAGAAAGTTCATTTGAACGATTTCATATAATCTAGTAGTCTCATAACTTTGGGCAAAGCATAAGTTTTAAATATCTTCATCATCAGACTGATTCTTTCTCTCCTTAGACGTTCCTGGAAAACGATTTGAATTCCAGCATTTGAGAGAGAAATGACACATTTCTTTCGATCAAAGTTATTTTCCGTCTACTTTCAATATAATCATCACAACATATTCGATAAAAAAAATTTCCCCGCGAGTTTTTGGATACTCATAGTTTTATCCTAATATGTTTTTATTAGTATCTCAAAAATTAATGAAGGACAACGCTCACTGTTCCTAACAGCTGCAAAAAATATAGAGATTGTGTCTCGCTCGTTCATGGTAACAGAGCTAGTCTTTTGTACTACGAAGACATTGCTTTTCTAACAGAAAGAAAGAGAGTCCATCGAATCGGAATGCAAAGATTAAATCATCCAGTGAAACTTGATATTTTAGGCTAGATTAGCTGTTTCGAGCATTCTCCTGATCAGCAAAAAACTGAATTGATGCATGATTTTTGCTGACTGATTGGTAACTCTCGTTGATGAAAGAGCAATCATGTTAGAATCTTGTCCTGTGTTTATCCATAATAAAACTTGAGTACACATTGACGAAAAAAGATCAAGTTGACTTTCAATTCATATTGCCTTATCATGTTGACTATCGGTTGTCAGTTCAGAATTTGTTCAGTTACAAATAATACAAATCAGCAGTTATTTACTCCAAATGTTGGAGTCCAAGACTTGTGTCCGCGATGGCATTCCTACAAATTGATAACAAATGTGCAAGATTCACTGCTAGTCAAAATTATCCAACATCTTGGGTATTAGTCACTGCAAGACTTGTAACCTTAAAAATTTGTATGTGCATAGTACTCGATGAATGTAGATCAGCAGCAAAACTCGTGCTGCAATTTTTACTGTAAGTATCAATATAGAGACAAACCATTGAATCTCATTATGTAAGTCCTAGTTTGGTGAAAGTCCAACAAATCAATTTCAAGCTTACAGAAAATACTTCCTTACAATTGTCTATTGTTTTCTGAAAGGACGGGGTGTATATTCTAGCTAAATATGCTCTATTAAAAAAATATTTCAAAAAACACTTAAAACTAAGATAAAATTCATCCTCTTTCAATTCTACAATATTCTCAATGCATAAAAACAATTTTCCTTAACAATTCATAGTGCACTGCTTGACATAAGCAAATAACCCACTGATAGGAGATTTATACCTGTATTCGCAGCATCGAATGTCCATCATAGTACGTTTCACTCACACATTGCACGAATAAAAAGCCACCATTTTTTCAGGGTAGACGCAACTTTTGAAGGGCTACACAATGATGCCAAAGTATCCATTGAATATGCTCCCATTAGGAGTTTTCAGGGAGCATGCTATCTGGTCACCGAGAAATTTAATGATGGACTGGTGGTTGGCGCTGTATCTACGATTGATGATGAAATTGTGCCCATTTTTGTGGTGGGGTTTTTGGAGAAAGTATTCAAACATTGATAGGTAGAAATGTGAGGAGGTCATTTGCTCCGCAACACTGATTGTTATGGAGTTTCAACTGTGATTTCGTGAGTCAATTTTCTCACAAGCGGCGCATAACTTTAAACTATTGAGGACCGTATGAGCAAGTATGGCATATAACTGTCTTCGTTTCAGATTTCAGATGTTCTCGGGCGATGAAAAGATTTCTTGTCGGAGAGTTCATGTTTGATGGTGCTTTGCAGCACTTTCCAGAGTTTTCGCAGGCGATTGACTTCCCACGGAAATTTTTTTTAGAAAAACCGCTTGAAACCGTGGTTTTTTTCATTCGACCGCGGTTTTGCTAGAGGAAACCGCGGTATCGATGGAGTAACCGCGGTTGAGAGCGGTTTTTCGGAATCGCGGTTCTCGGAAACCGCGTTGCGCGTATTCTTTACCGCGGTTCTGAATACCGCCGTATTAAACGGTCTTAAAATCTGCGGTATCGCAATTGAAAGCTGCGGTATTTAATACCACGGTATTCAACGGTTTTTTTAACAGCGGTTTAGTCATTAGTAACCGCGATGGTGAGTACCGCGGTATTCAACGGTTTTTTTAACCGCAGTGTAGTCATCAGCAACCGCGCTAGTGAGTACTGCGGTATTCAACGGTTTGTAAAACCGCGGTATACTCATCAGCAACCGTGGTGATGAATACTGCGGTATTCAACGGTTTTTTAAACCGCGGTGTAGTCATTACTAACCGTGATGGTGAATACCGCGGTATTTAACGAACTTCAAGCCTGCGATATGGTAATTGAAAACCGCGGTATTTAATACCACGGTATTCAACGGTTTCTTAAACCGCGGTGTAGCCATCAGTAACCTCGGCATAATCATCAGTAATCGTGATGGTCAACACCGTGGTATTTAACGGTCTTAAGAACCGCGGTATAATTATCAGCAATCGCGGTGGTGAATACCACGGTATTCAACGATTTAAGAAACCGCGGTATGCTGTCGAATAACCGCGTTATTTGTTACCGAGGTTTTTCTGCTGGAAACCGCGGTGTATCTGGCGCTTATAACATCGTGATGGAATGTGTAAGGACTAAGAGGGTGCCGTGCCTTGCAGTTTTCATGAAATTTTCGAATAAGTTTTCTTATTCTATCTCTCACTGCAAAGTAACTTTGTGGTAATGGAACTTCTAAAAGTTCACTACAGTGCCCCTCGAAGGGTTGTTCACGTGAACGTTTGCCAAAGTTCACGTGAGTCTCGTCATACCTGAGTCAGGTGTGGCCATGGAAACCGCGGTATATCGCGGTTCAACAAACCGCGGTTTTAAGCGGTTTCAGAAAACCGCGAAAGTCAAACCTTTTATGCGGTTTTTCAAAACCGCTATAAACCGGCATGTTTTTGGATCGCAGTAATTAACGGTCTTTCGAGACCGCGAAAGTCAGACCTTTTATGCGGTTTTCAATACTGGTGAAAAGCGCGGTGCGAAATTACCGCGGTTTGGGGCGGTTTTGAAAAACCGCATAAAAGGTCTGACTTTCGCGGTTTCAAAAAATCGCTGATTACCGTGATTTGTGAAACCACGGTTTTTCGCGGTTTTCGGTCAAAAATATTTCCGTGGGTTGTATGAAAAGCAATAAAGATTTTTCTGCGGCCGACAAAGTTACCATATATACAAGATCTCCTTAGGATGAAATGTTCGAGAGGTATTCCAAGAAGCTCTTCCTTTTCATTGGTTTCTGTCGTTTAGAACTAAGACGCGTAATTGCTAATGTGGTTGTGACCGACCGGGAACTCCTTACTTCTTTGATTGATCAACAGTCATGGAAAAGTTGTCAGGGCGAATGAAATGACACCTTTTAGACTTCATGTGTCTCAAAAAATGAGCTTACTAAGCGATTAAAAACGAATGTTTTACAAATAGGTGAAAGTGATTACTTGAAATAATACCGTATTGCTGATAGCATAAAGACTTAGGAATCGAAACAAGGGTCTATCCATTGAACCAAGGTGTAAGACATAGGTATAATGATACATATTTATGAATAAGCGTAAGCAGTTGAGAATAAAACTAAGGACTTGCAGTGGATGCAAAGGATTAAGCATGAAATATTATGTAGAGAATTTTTCGAGGGATCAGAAGCAACTGTAAAAAAAACGACGCAGATTCCCTTTAAGGATACCTTGTGGTCCTAAATAGTAGAAATCGATCGACTACACGTAGTTATCCATTCTATGACAAGAGAGAACCATGACTTCATGTCAACCGATGTTTACAAAAAAAAGTATGAGAAAAATATCCCGATAAATGATGTAGACGCAAATCGAACAGACCAAACAATTCGAAAACATACACAATAGGCTACACGAATCTTTCTTTATACGCAACGCCAAAGTCTCTCCGTTTCTTTTCCAAAATCGTTACTTCATATGCTTTTGCTAATTAGCTCTTCCTCCAATATAATAAAAGTTCTTACTAAACTGTCACAAATAGAATACTAGCAGTGACTACTTACAATATATCAAGCATTACACTATAGTAATTCTCCAAAATTTAGTCACAAAAGCAAGAATATGTAGCATTTAGCTTCTGTTCGAGACTTCTAAATGATAACGAGTTCCGCTAAGACCTTTTCCATAAGGTTGGAGCAGTGTAGTCTTTGGAAAATTCTGATGGGAGCATATTCAATCGATACTTTGGTATCGTTTTGTAGCCCTTCAAGAGTTGCGTCTACCCTGAAAGAATGGTGGGTTTTTATTCGTACAATGTGTGAGTGAAACGTACTATGATGGACATTCGATGCTGCGAATACAGGTATAAATCTTCTATCAGTGGCTTGTTTGCTTATGTCAAGCAGTGCACTATGAATTGTTAAGGAATATTGTTTTTACGCATTGAGAATGTTGTAGCGTTGAAAGAGGATGAATTTTTTCCTAGTCTTAAGTGTTTTCTGAAATACTTTTCTAATAGAGCCTATTTAGCTAGAATATCCACCTCCGTCCTTTATTATGATCCTCAATCATCCATCTATAGTTTTTACGAGTGATAACCAGGGGCAGCTTGCAATGATCTATTATTCTATTGTCAATATATATATTTCCAAGCATCGCTTTCACATGGTATGAAAGAACGAAAATAGTTCTTTTATTAGAGTTTATCGAACATAAAAGAATGTATGATATTTTTATTTCGAAGATTTTTCTTTTAGTATTCATACTATCAACTTTAAGAGCAATTAAACTTTGAGGAATTTTTTTGTCCTTCATTTGTTTATTATCAACAAATCTCTATGCTGATATATATATTGACAATAGAATAATAGATCATTGCAAGCTGCCCCTGGTTATCACT